TTCTTTTTTAATAAATCTGCAAAAATGTCAACGATTCTGTGTTTTTCTGTCAATATGGGGTGCTGTGTGTACATTAATGAGGAAAAAAAATTAACTTAAATGATTTTAGCAAATGGCTGCAATATAACAAAGAGTGAAAAATTTAAGGGGGTCTGAATACTTTCCGTACCCACTGTATATATATATATATAATTATTATTAGTAGTATTATTATTTTTTATTTTGTGCATGTATGTTCAACAGAAAAAAAAAAGTCATACAGGGTTGGAATAACATGAGGGTGAGTAAATGACAGAAATTTCATTTTTGGGTGAACTATGTCTTTAAGTGGGCTTTTAGACTAAATCTAAGCATATAAAAAGTACCCCTATGTGACTTCAAATCAGTTTCTATGACAAATGCATTTTTTGTTCCTATTATTCAGGTCTATGCAATTAAAATCATAATTTCTGTATTGTATTAAGGGGATAACCTTGAAAAAATGTCACTTTGGAAACCAGTTCTTTCAAAGACTTTTCTTTTGTTGATAATGCAGAGTGCTAAAGATGAGCTTGGCGTGACCTGACCAGAGTTGCGTTGAAAAGTTCTGCCAATGTAATTTGTAATAAAGCAATAAAATAAAAGAGAAGATGGGACTTCTCTGCAGATCCTTAAAGCACTCACAGGAACATCAGTAACTGTATCCTGGAGGATGCGAGAGCAGAGGGCAGTACTAGGAATTCAAGAACAGGAGAGTGGAGACCAGGGACCACTTAAACCTCCATCATGGTCTCACCATTATAAAAGACCTTGAGATATAATTATCCTCACTTTGTAGCTTACCTTCGCTTTTTGCCCACTTTGCATCCTAATGAAGAGAATTACAATCACTTTTAAAATGTTAATAGAAGAGAATATACATATACATTTATATTGTTGAAACATCATAGTTTTTTGTTAGGTTTGCTTTGAAAAGTCTGCCATTGTTTACTTACAAAAATGTTGTGGTCCAAAAACACTGGACCCCTTTGACTTTCATTGTATGGCCAAAAGACATTTTTTATCTTTTTAAAGGGGTCATATGACGTTGCTAAAAAAGAACATTATTTGGTGTATTTGGTGTAATGAAATGTCGAGAATCAAAGTTACACCTTCTTTCTTTGCATGAACATTTGGGCGGCGTTATGCATATCTTCCCACATCATGACGTAGACATGTGGGGGCATGTTTAAACGAGGCGTCTTAGGAGGGCGTGGACGAGTCTTAACTTTTATAGAGAATATCTCTTTGGATTTGAGACTTTAGTCTTTGCAACTTTAGGGATCTTATCTATTCACGAACAGCTTGTAACACTCCAAAGAGAAAGGAAAACGTGAAATCGCATCATATGACCCCTTTAATGTTTTTGGTGACTATTGGATGACTAAATGATGACAGAATTTTAATTGATGAGTGAACTATCCCTTCATTTCAAATACTAACTCATGGAAAAGGTACAATGAGTGTTATTTTAGTATTATTAATATACTATTATAGTTTTAGTTCATATTTTGAATTAGATTTTTTTACATCTGTTTTTCTTTTAATTTGAGTTAGTTTTAAGTCATTTTGTTGTGTTTTTGTAATTTTAATTAGTTTTTTTTTTAAATATGTCTATATAGTTTAAGCTTTAGTTTTTATTTTTCCATTAAATTACTTTTAGTTATTAACTCAGCTTAAACTAAATGAAAATGAGAAATGTTGGCAACCACCTGAAATAAAATAAGATCATATTTTCATTACTTAAAAGAAAATAAACATTAACTGAAAATACGTTTAAGGATTTTTTTTTATATCATTTCAGTTAATGTTTACTTTATTTCAAGTAATAAACATCTTTTTTATGGTTTTAGTTAATGATTATAACCATGCTCCAATCCATATGCAAATATTATATAAGGACGTGTGATCCTCATTAATGCTATCAGAGTCAAGTTCAAGTTCATTGCCTATGGGAGTCCCAGCCAGACTGGGAACTTCTTCATCCACCCCTGTGAACCAGCTCACCCCTTGTAACCCACACCCTATCTGCCCCGTCCCCCCACCCCTGTGGTTTTGGTGGCGGGCTGGAGGGGGCCCTCCACTCTGTGCCGTTGCTAAGGGAGCGAGAGCTGGCTGGCCCAGCAATGCGCTGGTGAAAAGGCCCGCCTGTCAAAGTGTCTGAGGGAAGTCAGGCTGGTTGGCTCGCCGCTCTGTATACACACACTCTTATATATACAGCCTGCATGTGTGTGTGTTCCAGACCCTGGGAATGGCAGCAAGCACTTTATATTCATTACCGCCCCCCCGATCGTCGCAGTGATTTGGTAAACAGCCCCCTTCCATCTTAAAATGTCTAGTCTACTTCCATCCCATAATCCTCCTCATTGCAACTCCTCTAGGAACAATATTTGTGGCTCTTGGTAAAAATGATTGTAGGCCGTTAGGTTCTACAGTGTGAATACACTTTCCTCAAACAAAAATAATTGGAATATGTTTTACAGGAGTTTTTCTACTTCAAAATGGCACATTTAATTCAGTGTGTTACATTTTCTCTCTTTTTTTTTTTAACCTTTAACAGCCATGGAACCTTTCAATTACACAAAAGGTTCTTTATAGAGGAACATTTTCTTTAGAATGTTATGTTCTTCACCCTAAGAAACAATGGTTCTTTTAGGAACTGCTCACTGAAAGGTTCTTTGAGGAACCCAAAATGGTTCTTCTATGACTCTGCAGGAAAGTGGATCCCGCGAGCCAGATTTGAGGATCACTGTTCTATGGCATCTTTGCAGAAACCCCATTTTGGGACCTTTATTTTTAAGAATGTTCTTTATTGGCATCGATGGTTTCATGAAGAACCTGTAACATTTCCATTCCACAAAAGGTTCTTTGTAGTAGAAAAAGGTTCTTTTAAGAACTGTTCACTGAAAGGTTCTTTGGGAAACCAAAAATGGTTCTTCTATGGCACCGCTATGAAAACCCCCTTGTGAAACATTTATTTTTAAGAGTGTAGTTCTTTGCATGATGAGTGGACTGTTGCAACGATATTAGTAACTTAATATGATTGTTTCTACTATAATCAACATAGTGGTGCATAGTGCTTAAGAATGTCATGGTGGGCTCCGTTCCCATTACAGTAGAGTGTGGTGAAAACAAGTGTGTGTGTGTGTGTGTGTGTGTGTGTGTGTGTTTTCTTGAGGTCTCATTCAAGGCTGAGGACGAGAATTGAGAATAAAAGGCCAGTGATTTGCATAAGCTGCATGCTGTCTGAGGGTTTTTGGGAAGGCGGTGGGAGCTTGAGGAAAAAAAAAATGCGGGAATATAAAAAAAAACAGAGAGACAGAAAGAAACCACACATTGTAGAGGCGCAGAAAGAGAGAGGGGGCTTGAATGAAGCAGAGGGTGAAAATTGACAGAGAAAAGGGTCTTGCCAAGTCTCCTGCAGGGATTAAATTGTCCATAAACCTCTCTATATATAATTTGGGAACACTGGTAATGGCGTTGATACACATCGTACACAAATTCTAAGGGTGACGGGGTATAGAAAGGATCCGCACCACTTTTGGAAGCAAATAAAGAATGAGGGATTGTAAACAAATATGGTCAATGCATGTAAAAGTGTTGTGTTGTATGCATTACCCTTCGCTAGATAACCACATTTGTTTTACTGACTGCATTATTTGGAGCAATATAAATACTCGAAATTATCTCAAAATGTCACCCTCTTTAAAACTATAATGACCACTAAGCTGAGTGAATATGGTGATGTTGTGAAATTGCCGAATAACACACAAAGGACAGCACAGCATTACCCCAAGCTGCAATTTAGATGCTTGATTGTTCTCATTAAAATAAACTATTGGAAACGCCACCAAAATGGACTCCAACCTTTCTAAAAATCTACAACATTTAGAATATTAGCAGTATTGCAAACCCATAAATCCACTTCCTACTATTTGGGGTGAAATACAAGAACAAAATACTGCTGAAAATGGTGTGTTTGCATTGCATTGTGTTTCAGTTTTCATAGTAGCAGTCACTGATCGATAATTCTAAACACTTTTCCCATCGCTAGCTTTATCAGGAATGGAGTATAGAAGATAGCAGGGTTGTCATTTGCATTTCAGTCAATCAGATATTTTCAAGTTGACAGTTGAGAGACATTCAAGACATCACAAATGTCAGTTTTAGCACACTGGATTAGTTTTGGAAGTATTTTTGTTTTCCTATCAGAAACGTAGAAAACAACTTAGGGAAAAAAAAAAAAAAAAAAAAAAAAACAGACATCCCTTGTGACCATGCAACTCTAGTTCTTTGGATCTATTTCTAATGTTAACGTTAATATGGTTTTTCATTTACACTATATTGAATAACACTACAAACACTACCATCACAGTGCACATTGTTGTTGATGCCAGCATGTTGTCTTTTTGACATTTATGTCATAACAGCAAGCCATGTCATATTAATCTTTTTATTTTCCTCTCTAACCAGTCTCCTGGCAATAAAACTCTGAAAAATTCCCATCGTTGTCATCAGCTGCTGGAGAAACCAAGGCCATCCTGCTATGTTTGAGTCAAATGGTCAATCACATCACCTCAGGAATCCAGCGTCCAGCATCTCTTCCAGATGGTTCGCTGTGAAAATTTAACAAGCAGATGAGAGACGAATTAGAATGTGCACTAATTGATTTAACTGGGTGTCTTAAAACCTTGCAGACAATCAGTAAGACTGGATGGGTGTGTGGATTTGGGCTGTTCACCCAGTTAAATCTTAGATGTTAGAAAATGTGTTGTACAATCTTATCAGTGCTGTATAAACTGAAGAGAATAATGTGTCTTAATGTGTGAAAAGTTTACAGTGAAAGTTGTTGTTATTGAAACATTTCAGTGCATGGAAATTTGCGATCCCTATTTTAAATACTAGTATTTTTAATGTTAGTCATCCATGTTTCATGTTATTATATTATAAAATGTGCCTGTTTCAGTTGATGTACAGGAAATTGGTTAATCCAGATATTTTATATGGCTACTGTATGTATGGTTTAAGAATTATGCTCAGTTTCTCTCTGCATTATCATTTGTCTGATTATGTGATATGTGAAACAAACTTATTAAACTGCACAAATAAACAACATTAAAGCACTGAGTGAATGATTGTTGACACTGGAAAAAGCCATTTTAAGTTATACCCTGTATAGAAATGTACTTTAATGGGAGGTGGACGTCACATGTAGTGGCCACGGGCTATTTTGTAACCACCTACTTCAAGACAGCTTGACAGCTCATAGTTCTGGTGCTCCTGTCAGCACCTTGGACAGCACATAATAAGCAAGTGCGGAAAATAACTAGCAGTGAATCACCTCTCTTATTCATGCAGAAGTCATAAACAATAAAACATATGTGCTGCTCTGGTGTGAGTCAGCGCAGTGTGCTTAAGGTGATGTTTGTGTTTTTAATCTGTGGGACGGAGATCAAACAATTTCATATAATTCTGTCAATGGGATTTGTTTGACTAGCAAACACTCAGACACTGCATGTCAATGATTGTTTCCATTTACTGAGATTATATTTGAAGCATAGGTTACATAAAACAGAGAAGTTGTCACGTTAAAAAATTATCAAAAGATTTAACATATGAAGTAAGACATTATTTTGAACCAGAATTGAGAGTTAATTTCTATGCCTGAGCTGGAATACTCAATTCAACACATTGACAGCTGATGAGAAATATACCTGGTGTAAAACACTGCTTAAATTACATTAAGCCATAAAAAAAAGGATTCACACACCTCTCAAATTAAGATGGATGTCTATGACAAATCTGACAAGATTTAATCTTCAATTGAAATGGGTGCTTTTCCTGCGCAGTTCCAGAATCACAAAAACAACTGAAGAGTTTTCACTCTCGAGTTTGTCAGTGAATATAAATGAAGTGCAAATTATCGTGTGCTCTGTGAGCACGATCAAATCAAACGTTTATATCTTGTAAGCCTCAACTGTGATATGTGTTCAAATAGGCCTGCTTTTACTTGGATTACTTTCAACCAATATTTAACTTAATCGGAATTTGAATATTCTATTTAAAATACGTCTCTGTACATTTTTAAATAAAATTCCCATTCTGTTGCTTCATTCAGTTATTGTGGAGCGTACAGAAGACGAGCAGATCATTTTTAGTGTTTAAAGAGATTCAAAAGTTTACGTTCTCAATATAATCTTACCAAAATATATTGCAGACAGTCGTTAGATGCATACGTTGAATAAGTTTGGGCACAAACTTTGGTTAATGTATACATGAACTATTTCACCACCGATAATGCTGAGACTTTTATACCTGCCTTTATGCGAAAAAACTAAATATGTGGAAACTTTTCTCCATTTTATTGCATAATGAAACTCCTTCCCGCCAGTTTATATAATTTATTATGGCGTAATTGACTTGCATCAATTAAATTAACAAAAACGAAGGGAAGAAACAAACTGACGAACAAAATTCATTTATTTTATTTCATTAAAAAAACTTAACTATCCATCGTATATGCTATTCAACAAACATTTACTGTAAGCAATAACCAACCTCTGTATTAGATTTCCAGCAATCTAAATCTAACAAAAACATAGCGTTTGTATCAGGATAAGCCTGTGGAGAAAGAAGCGACTCGTTAGTCGTCGGATGTCGAGTTAATATTGTAGGAGAGACTGCACTGCTGTAACACGGGGTAAGTTGTAACACCATTAGTTTGCAATTAGAAATCAGCTACAGGGGGGAAATCAGCATCATATACATGAGCACCACTCCACTGAGGTGGAGGTACAAATCGTAAGACTTTGTGTACAATATAGAGGATTTACAATACAAAAAAAAAGCATCGAGATGTTCACGTCTCCCCGTCTCCTTTATAATTTAGTTTGATGAATGAATGTTATATTATACAATCGTTCATATCATCTGTTTCAGTAGGTTCTCTTGTTCAATTTGAAATACAAGCTTCAAATCTAAAGGGTTGTAACACTTTCCAATGCACTTACTGGACCCAGAAATATTGAGGACAACGACAATGCACACTCAACACACCTCTGTTTTTACAGTTGTTAGCGTATGTGTTTGTTCCCAAATGTAGCCTGTTTGCTTTAAATTATATTTGCTTTCAAATGTATTTTGCTTTAAATTGTCCTATATTTGTACAATTAAAATGTTGAAAATGTCCATGTTTTCCACAGCAGTTGTAACAGTAGCACTCTTTGTACTTGTCATTACATTTCACAGTTTAGGTTGCAGATCTTAGAACAACTTTTATTAAAAAAAAAAAAAAACTAACTGGATTAGAAATATGTTTGTGTGTAGATAAATTGTATCAATGTTATGTTGGAGCCTGCAAAAAAATAAAAAATAAAAATAAAAATCTACACGTTTGCGTACCGAAATGGGGACAGCATAGACTATTGTTTCTATATACTGATAGTTATAGTTACTTAATTATATTCATTTCATTTTTATACCATTTTTACAAATGAGGACTTCCCCAAAGGAAGGTTTTGGGAGATTTTGTCAGGCTTAGCTCACTTTTTGGGTAAATCTGGGTAAATCCGTCCCCCAAATATGGTTATGTACACACATGTTCTCCCCTCATCTTTACAACAGCTTTTCTAGCTGACCTCTGAGGTTTAGGAAATAGAATAGAGTAATGACCTGTTCATGGTACCAAGGGGTCAGACCGACTCTAAACTGACCAGACACGTGCTCTTTGCTCTAAACAAGCCTCTTAAATAACAAGAATAGGTCTTACACAAATGATGAGCCTGTGGGGGAGGGGGATTTTGTTATTCTGCAAAAAGAACAATATTCTTCATGCTCAAGCAACATACATATTAGTCTTGATGTATTGTTAAAATAACCTAAATAAAAGTCACAAACATCTAGACCACAGTGAAATCCATTTTAATGTGTTGTTCTAGCTAGGCCTTTGTCAAAATGTAGGCCTACTATATTTATATAATTTCTAAAACTTATTTAGCTATTTTACATAAATATTAACCAATCTGCAATCCAGCAGTCAGGAGACTTAATTGATGCCCTTCAGTGTCATATTTGAAGTTGATGTCAACACAAGTCTCTTGAGGACCAGTCACAGCTGACACAAGGGTCAGAGGTTATGTGCTAGGTTCAAGTGGTTTGTCCAGTTATTCCCAAAGGGCCAATCGAATGATCTAAGATGAAAGAGATGACATGATTTTGCTCTGTGTCCCACTATTAATTCCTCTGACTTAATTTCACTTAAAAAAAAAAAAACAATTTGTAGTTGAAAGCATCTAGACATAAATGAGGCTCAGGCCTTATTTCTGTTTAGGCTTTAATGACAAAACACGCATTTCTTTTTCGTTTAATTTCTGGATAAAAATAGCTATTTGGTCAAGATAAAACAGGGTAAATGCATCTCAGTGTAAGCTTGGATAACAACATTTAAGCGTCGACTAATTAAAGACATTTCATAACATCAAAGGACACCGTTGTATGTATTCTGATGTAGCTACGCTCTTATTCTGCTGAATTCAGAATTCCGATGTACATTCTTCATGTTTTGTATTAAACGGAACGCGTTAGAACGCTAAAAATGCCGGAAATGACCCACCAAAGTGCGCGCGCTAACTGCAGGTGTTAAGTCACGTGGCGCTGTACACTCTAAAAAATGCTGGGTTAAATACAACCCAGTGCTGGGTAAAATAGGGACAAACCCAGCAATTGGGCTGTTTTTACCCAGCGGTTTGATTAAATGTTTAACCCAACCTTCTGGGTAGTAACCCAACCGCTGGGTCAAAACAACCCAATTGCTGGGTTTGTCCCTATTTTACCCAGCACTGGGTTGTATTTAACCCAGCATTTTTTAGAGTGTAGTTTATGGATTTGTGATTACATGACAGAAATATACCCTGAAACAGTAGCCTAGTTCACTTGTTTAATTTGATAACACAATCGCAGTTGTGACACATGCACAACCCACAACCTGTCTGATAGCCATACTTTTTATATGTAGGCTATTTGCGTTGTGTGTTTTTTCTGTTTGTTTCTCATTTTATTTGCTGCTTTAAATTTAAATGTTTCTTGTATATTTAAAATATTTTTTTAAAAGATCGAGTGCGAGAGAGAGAGAGAGAGAGAGAGAGAGATAGAGAATGCGTGGTGATAAAAATTATTTTGATTACCGCATAAATTTATGCACTAAATTTTGAAACACTCCATGTTTTCTATTGGATAAAACATACAATTTAATTCATAGATTTCCAACAAATAATGGAATTTTATGTCAAAGTTTGAGACACGTATAGCACAAAACACAAAGCTATACATGCGTAGAAAATGTGTTGAAACACGCCTCGCCCTCTCTAACATAGGCCTACGGTCCCCAAAATACTGAAAGATTCACGGAGAAAAAAAGCTCAGCACCGAAAGTCTTTCATTAAGAGCCAGACGAGCAGCAATTAGCAACAGAGCAGCTCAGCAAAGCCAAGAGCGCCGGGATTATTGTCCAATCATTTATATCTTCCAAACCAGTAAGCATTAGAGTCTGTATTGTAAGTTAGCATAAGAATAGGAACAGGTCCTGTGAACTTCCCCGACCTTCTGACCCTCTTTTCCCGAGATGAATAGCACCACTTTCAGACACCCCAGCCTCTTCAACAGGCTTGAACCATGCCTAAATTCCCAATCATGGTAATTTAATATATCTTAAGCCCCCCGGCTGCATCTATAGTTTGATGTAGGCATCTATTTCGATTCACCCTGTCATCAGAGCGCTTTACTCGGGCCGCTACGGGACTCTCTTATAACCTAGGTTTTCTCTTATAACCTATAAAAGCCAAGATGAATGGCGTTCCCATCTTTTCAGTGTCATTTTGATAAAAAGACAGTACAATTAGTCTATAATCACCTCCACGACAATAACACTGATGCATCCGAAATCGTGCACGACAGATACTTGCTTTCATAAAAGCAAACTCTTTATTTATGTATTTTGCAATAGGTTGCAATTTCTTGAAATAACTAAATAGCAAGTTGAAGCTCGTGACTGGCTCTAACATTGCTCAGTGACAGGCAGGTTTGTGGCGCGCGAGTCTAAGAAATGCCCCTGCCTCTTTGATGAATGGCGAATATCTAATGAGGGAGATGGGCACCTACTGCACTTTTCATTGTT